CCCCCCTCTCTCCTCCCTCTCTGGTTTCTCTCTCTCCTCTGTTGAATGACCTTGGGAGATCAGTGACTAGCACTTCCTGGAGTTGGCTTGAAGCAGAACCAAGGGCAAAGTTTGCAAGGCTCGTTTGGTTGGCTGGTTCGGTCCGGCCATGCCAAAGGGATGTTGCATCGCAGGTCACAGCAAGCGCATCCACCATTATAATAACCCTGTCTGTTCTCTTTTAATCACAAAGCATTTGCACCAACATCTGTAAAAATGTTACAGGCGTGTGTGTGCGCGTGGTTAATCTGTAATTCCTGGCCCGGGAACTTCTTGTTTTTTTTGTTTTGCCTGAGTAGATCATTTACCCTGCATGCTGTAACCGTGCCAGTTTCTTTCTTTCATCAAGGTGAACGCTGTAATAGTTCAGGATTTGTAACCCCCCTTTTGATTTATAGCCGCCATTTGCGTTTTTCAGTATGACATTTGTCACCTATGCTGTATTTATTCCATCTATTCAGGTATAGTAAATCACAATAAAACTGACTTACTGAGTGTTAAACATTAGGTAAAGAGTGTGAAGTGGTCCAACGATACGTCCTGGTTTATAGTCACGTACGTTATGTAACTTTCTGCTCGGTCCACTTAAAACCTAGCAGACGTAAACCTTGAGTGACCTTCCCGCAGAACTGCCTGTTCTGCTTCATTGACGGTTTCACGCAGCAGCATGTGGAAGGTTGACCTCGTGGTTGACATGTCGGTGTAGCAACACTCATCCAATAGCTGGCACTATGTTACACAAAAAACATGCCTTTTGATTGGTTGATTTCATCGGTTATAGTGACCATGTGACAGATGAGACGGTCCATGTGGTTACATGTTTGCTCTTTGTCCAGCCTGATGTGTTTTGACTGTTGGCAACCTTTAAATAGTAACGATGTGTAAGGTCATAGCAGTGCTTTAGGGTCATCGTATGGAAAAATAAATCCTTTCACTTTTTGGGTCCTCCTCTTTGTCGTCCCCTTCTTCTCGCCATCTGTCTTTTCTCAACACAATTAATCTTAATTTGTCTATATACATGTTCTGTACCAACAGCCATATTGAATTGAAAGTGCGGTGCAAAACAAAATCTAATTACTTTTTATTATGAATTATCTGGGACGACCTGAACTATACTCCCAGCTTTTCACACCGGTAGAGTAATACACTAATCAAATAAAGCAGATGTGTTGACAAAATGAGGTGAAAAAATCCACACTTATTTCAGATTACTTGCCACACATTCACACATTGTTTTAGTACAGTACATGCCCCCTTTTATTTCTGTGTGGGTCAGGTCCTCTCAGTGCACATCTGCTCCAATGTGAAGCGGCAGCGCTGCTTCAGGGAAAGATCTGGGATGAGATGAGTTGTTCTTCAGCACAATGACAACGTGATACCGAAACACATCAGGGAAAGGTTCGCCTCAAATAGGCCTTCAGTTTGTCCTAAACTGCCTCGCCTCATTACCGATCAACTACACTCTCACACCAACCGTCAGGTCATTATGAGGGCAATTACCCGCAGACCATTTCACCTTAATCAGAGACCAATTAATTAGCTCAACTGTCTCTCTCTTTTACAACAATGCCTATGCCTGAGTTTTGACACTGAAAATGTTAAGCTTTCATTTTGTCTTTTAGTAATCTAAAAGAGCAACTGAATAGGCATAAGGCTAAGTGACGCTATCTCGATGTGTTTTTTTCTCCGGTCTTCCGTCGGGTTTATTTTGACAGGAATTTGACATCTTTTGTAAAGTGGTGTGACATCAGAGTTGGAGTGAGTCGCTGATGCTGCTGTGAGTGGCCACTTGATGTGACGTGCCAGTTAGTGAGGGAGGGAGGGAGGGAGGACTGTGCTGGCAGAACAACGTTAGCGCTGATTCAGCTGCAGCAAGCGGAGCAGCATTGACTTTCCCAGAGAAGTTGTGGAAGAAGGGGAATCAGGTGACAGGAAGTAAGACAAGAACAAGCGAGAGAAACCCTCACCCACGAGTGACAGAGAGAGATGGGAAGTACTGGAGAAGAGACAGGAAGAGAGACGCAGAGCCGCTGAAGGAGGAAGAGCAAGTTGCTGTGTTGTCGACAAAGTACAGACATCACATTTGTCCTCCACGACACACACACACACACACACACACACACACACACACACACACACACAGCAGAGTTGGTAGGAAACCCAACACCGGCATCTCTGTGTCTCAATGACCTGATGAAGGACAACAGAGCCGCAGGGAAGAGGAAGAGGAGCGATGCACAATGTACAATAATATAGCATACAGGAGCAGAACAACACAGCAGGGATGCTCGTCGGGTTCATTACAACAGAATGATACACGAATAACAAGCGCACATCAAAGTATAAAACATTCATTACATTTGGACCTACAATGCTGACTATGACAGAGTGAAAAGAGCTTAAAAGCTTTAACAGATTCTTACGTACAGATTTCCATTTAAGGAATACTTTAAGCTTACTATAGATTAGAGAGCTCATATGAAGAAGCAAAAAGTACAGATAGAATAATCAATCTCGTCTGCGTCGACCTCCAGACCTTTTACAACTTTCATAACGTTGGCATTTATTAGCTTTCACTGAGTTTCAAAATTGATTTTTCTTTGTGCGGTGGATACTCGGAGTGTTTGTTTGACTAGACTGGACCCAGACCATAGAAGGTGTTGCAGAACTCAGCAGAAGACATCGTGCTCTGCACATCAGCGAGGCTCCCACGCAAACTTTCCATTGATGCAAAGCCCTGGGACATATATCGGTGTACTGTAGAGCTCACTTAGCTATAGCTGGAGGAGCAACCTTTAGGCATGTTGACACCTAGCCCTTCTCTTCATATGCACGTTGTTGTTCTGTTTCCTGCCTCCCTCTTGTCACACTTGCTTTCTCATTTCTTTTCACATACTGACTTCCCCTCTGCTCCCCCTCCTCCTCTTCCTCCTCCTCCTCCTGCTGTGGTTAGTGCATGGCTGTGTATTTAGATTGACGGTCACAGGGTCAGAGAGAGGCGGTTGGGGTGTATGTGTGACTTAATAACAGCTCTCTCTCTCTCTCTCCACAAGTGTTTGAAAGAAGTGTGTTATGTGTGAGAGCAGAAGGTGCTGGGGTGGCCTGTGTGTCCTTTTGTTTAATCAATTGAATCATTTGCTATTTCAACACAGCGTTGTTACCATACCATTACCATGTAATGCTGTTAAGTGAATTGCCTAATTATTATTTCTTATGGGGCTACCAGTCGGAGAGAACCACACGAGCTGGCAGGCAGTAGTACACAAACGGATACACAAGGTTGTCTTGTTCAAACTTATCACAAGATCAAGGGCTGATACTGGCGCTCAAATGCTGTTTAGCATTTAGCTGGAGAAGCTTTTTTTTTTTTTTTTCTCTCCACCCTATCAGCATGGTCATAGTGCTGCAAAGTACACAGAGGCCATGAAAGAGCTGGCAGAGGTCAGTGTACCCATCAGGCAGAGGAGAAGAAAAAAAGAAACTACAATTCCCATCAGTCGTTCCTGCCGCGTGGAATGCTGGGATTGTTCGAGTGACTGCAGGATTTCAATCAACCTTGAAATGCAACTGGACACTGGAGTGTCAGACAGAGAAGGGGAGACATTGTCAAGGGCAATCACTAGCCTGGCATGCCATAGCTACAAGCTGCCTGATTGATTTATATAAAGCCCCCCCCCTGCCATGCTGCCTCATTGATTTAGGCTACTCTCTGTCGAAAAACTGAATGACAGAATAGGATGCACCAGTGCTTCTTATATTATTCAGTAACTCCCACCACCGTCTTTCCTGTCGAAAATCATGTATTCTGGATTAGTGATTGGTCGGGGGTAAAATATTTTACAACTGCACTTAAGTGGTGTGAATAAAGGAACCGACGTGGAACCAAAGAGTCAAAACAATCTGGCACACCACTGCTGTAACAGGGGAGACACTAGATGGAGTGCTTGAAAGTCTTTTGTTTTGTATTGGTCCGTCAGCTGGACCGGAGCTGGAGCCCTTCATGCTTGTTGGCCCAGAGTTAGAAAAGAAAGAGGTGACCCCCCCTTTCTCCTAACACTCTTTTCCTTTGTTCTGTCGTCTCTCTCTCTCTCTCTCTCTCTCTCTCTCTCTCTCTCTCTCTCT